GGATAAGGTTATTAACAGCTACTAGCCATGATGGCTATTGCTCTACCTCCACATTTGGAGGCAGAAATGCTTCTGAACATCAGTTGCTGGAAACCATACAGGAGGAGAGAATGTTCTAGTGCTTGGGCCCCACTTGCAAGTTTCCTCAGAGGCATCTGGCTGACCACTGTGAGAACAGCATGCTGGACTAGATGATCCATTGGGCCTGATCCAGCAGGCTCATCTTATGACCAACATATTGAGTTCTCAAACCGGAATGCACATCTTCCTCACCGTGTTCCTGTGCGAGTCACATGGCCCTCACAAGATTGCAGGCCCCCCCGGCCCGGTTTCTTTTTTTGGGGGGGGGGAGAGCGCTTTTTTCTGGCAAGATCTCGGCACCCAAAATGGCCGCCGGGCCCTCACGTGAGGAAACGGGATGTCCCATCTTCCTGGGACAACTTGTGCAGTATGCCAGTAGAGAGATTGGCTATGAGGAAGAGACAAACTGAAGCCTGATTTCATCTATGTCACTTAATGTTTAGAAATGCTAAATGTCTCCACCTATGAAGGTATCTTACACAGTCTTGCACCACTGTTGCTGGACTATAAGGTCTATCTGTACTGACATTCCACCTGCTTTTGAAAGACACGCCTGTTCACACAAGCCTCCCCTTGATCTCTTTGTCCTCCTGCTTTAACTCCTGAATTGTTTTATTGTAGATTTTAATTCCAGGCATTTATATTTTATAGTCTGTGCACCCAGTGTTTCTTCTTTGGAAACTGCTCAGAAGCCTATTTTAGCGTTATGTGGTATATAGATATTTATTATTCACAGTCATCTCTGACTACAGGTCAGGCTGACAGGACCTAGAGTCCAACACCATCTAGATAACGTAAGTTGATACATCCCTAGTTTACACTGACTGGTAACAGCAGCTCCCCACCAGAGTTAAAAACGAAACAAAACTGGAGATGGTGGGAATTTAAATCCGGACTCACTGTGCACACCAACTCCCTTTCTCAACAGAGTCCTGCCCAAGGTATTAAAATTCCAAACTGAGCCACTTGTTCCATGATGGCCCCAACACAGATGCAACCATCTACTTGATCTTGCTATCAACCAGCCGCAAACAAGCAACTCTAAATTTGCATCTGCTTTGCATACAGAAAGCCCCAGGTTCAATCCTGCGCATCTCCAGGTAGCATTGGGAAACACCCATCTCTGAAACCCTGGGGGTGGGGAGGTATTGCTTGGTCAGTTATAGGCCAGGTTTGGGGAACCTTTGGCCCTTCAGATACTGCTGAATTACAACTCCCATTATCCTCAGCAAGCATGGCCAATGGCCAGGAATGATGGGAATTGTAGTGAAGCAACATCTGGAAGGCCAAAGGTTCCCCTACACCAGGTATAGGCAATAGAGAGCTAGATGGACTGACTCTGTAACAGCAGCTTGTTATGTTTCGGAGAGAAATAAAAATAGAAGGGATTAATAGCCAAGTAGTAGAGCAACTGCATGCAACCCACAATCTCCAGTTAAAAGGAACATGTAGCAGATTATAGGAAAGATCTCTCTCAGCTTCAACCCTGCAGAACTGCTGCCAGTCAGAGTAAGCAATACTGGACTAGGAAACTGGCTACAGGACAACTTAAGAAGTATCCCAACCAACTTCTAGCTGGAACTGGCAGCTGCTTCTGTGTAAGAACATGGGATGAAAAGAGATGCAATCATGGATCTCCTCTGCAGTCTGGACTTCAGGCTCTCCGAAATACCAGAAAGGAGGGGGAGCTGCAAGAAAACATTGCAGTCAGGCATTCTTGTTCAGTTCCAACTAACTAGCAATGCCGCCTCACAATACTCCATTTGTCATTTCCCATCAATTTACTTGCCCGTTTCCAAGTCAGTCAGCATTCTAGGCCAACTGAGTATGCTCAAACCTTGTTGACCTGGTTTTTTGTTTTCATTTAGCAGGGGGTGCCCCTCTTTAGGGAACCTCCCACAAAAAATGATGTTGATTTATACTTTTGCAAATCTCAAGAATTCCTCAAGCATACCAGGACCTCCTCCTCCAGGGCATGGGCTGTGGCACCATAAGGAATGACGAACACCCTGAACATCAGTAACAGAGAGAGGCCTTTAAAAGGTTCTCTTTTTTTACACACTGGATTCTCCTTTGCAGGTTGATAGACGCACATGCACGACAGCCAAGTCACTTTTGGTCACACCTGCTGAGGGAAATGCAAATCCATTTCGGTCTGGGGAGCTGAAAAGAGAAACAGCCTCCCTCGGGTAGATGGTTGCAATTTCAGCACTTCCCGAGCGCTGGAAAATACCAGGAGGTGTTATGTTTGCGAAAGCCTGCCCAATGTGCTGACGGTAGTGGAAACCCTCCTTCTCTCCTCGGAAGGAGGAAAAGTATCAGGTACCAGCGGCGGCCCCGGTTTGAAACCAGAGCTCTCCAGGGACAATGAAAGATTCGAATAGAAGGCTCAAGATCTCTGAAAGGTTACTGATGTTATTCTTAGAACAGCATTTCGATTTGATGGCTAAAATACCCATGGGCTGCCAGAGAGAGCTTGGGAGAAATGCGAGGGCGGGGGCACTACACCCTGGGCCCAGGCAGTGTTGAGCATAGGATCCTCCAACCAATGCAGCCGGTCCATTAGGGGGTACAGGGCACTGCCCCACCAATGGCACTGTCCTTTCAGCCAGCCTGCTGGTGGTCTCCTTCCCTTCCGCCCTACCAGTCTCCAGGGGCACCAGCCAGAACTACCTAGAACCTGGACGTACAAGGGTGTGCACATGCCCCAGTTTATTTCATTGGGGAGGTTCTTATGGTGCGCTAGAACAGGCATAGCAAGCCAATGAAGAGTCTGCGTAAAAATGTGAACCTAAGAACCACCTTCCTGGAAAAGCCCATAGCACCATCTAAACTACCCAGCAGTTATGTTTTTAAGACAGCATTACATGCTAAATGGGGGATGCGGGTGGCGCTGTGGGTTAAACCACAGAGTCTAGGACTTGCCGATCAGAAGGTCGGCAGTTTGAATCCCTGCGACGGGGTGAGCTCCCATTGCTCTGGCCCAGCTCCTGCCAACCTAGCAGTTCAAAAGCACGTCAAAGTGCAAGTAGATAAATAGGTACCGCTCCGGTGGGGAGGTAAACGGCGTTTCTGTGCACTGCTCTGGTTCGCCAGAAGCGGCCTAGTCATGCTGGCCACATGACCTGGAAGCTGTACGCTGGCTCCCTTGGCCAATAAAGCGAGATGAGCGCCGCAACCACAGAGTCGGTCACGACTGGACCTAATGGTCAGGGGTCCCTTTACCTTTACATGCTAAATGTAAAGCAAACCTAGTCCGGCATTTTGTTTCAAATGGCGAGCAACCAGATTCCTCTGGATATGACAACAAGTACAGCCTTCCATGGACACCAAGCATTCTCAGTCCTCCTCATTGGGTTATTTAGGAGAAGACACGCTTAAATGCATGTGTGTTTGGTGTTTTAATTGCCCTCCTGCAAAGCTTTGAGCTTCCTCGGGGATGCAGATACTTCTTGCACTCATGGGTGCTGCTGCTTCAGCTAAATATGCAATGGTACTCACAACTGGAACTACTGGAAACAGACAGAATGACTGAGTTTGGGAAACCCCCCTCTATAAATGAATGACACATAATGTCAGTCAGCCCAGGAGACATACTGAGGGGATGGATGCTCACTAATGAAGTTCCGGGAGCTCTCTTTCACGTCATGAAGCTAGCACAATATTAAGAACCGTTTTGGGTCCACGGCTCCCTTGACCAACTACAGTGGTACCTCGGGTTACATACGCTTCAGGTTACAGACTCCGCTAACCCAGAAATAGTGCTTCAGGTTAAGAACTTTGCTTCAGGATGAGAACAGAAATCGTGCAGTGGCGGCACAGCGGCCCCATTAGCTAAAGTGGTGCTTCAGGTTAAGAACAGTTTCAGGTTAAGAACGGACCTCCAGAACGAATTAAGTTCTTAACCTGAGGTACCACTGTAAGTGCAATATAAACAAACAAACGAACAATGGCATCTGTCCTAATGGTTATGACAGCCTCTCTCAACCTTGTGTACCCAAAATGTGGGACTACAACTCCCATCATCCCTAGCTAGCAGAACCTCCGGAACGAATTAAGTACTTACCCTGAGGTACCACTGTACATTCTTTCTGCGGCACCCCTCAGGAACCCAGTTATGTCACCCCTTGCCTTCTGAGCTGGCAGCCCCTCACCCTTTTTTGAACACCCTTGCGGAGTGTTCTCTCAGCCTCCTCCCCTCTCCCTGCGAGTCCTCAAAGCTGCCGCTGCCACCACCCCTGGTCTCTGAGCCGCCTCGGCTCCTGGCAACCAGCACCCCCTGTCCAGCTCCAGAGGAATCATTCGCCCGGGGAGCTTGTAGCCAGGGCTGCTGCAACAAACAGCTGTGTAAGCATTTGGGAGGGAGAGATGCGAGTGGGCATCAGAGGGAGGTAGGGAGGGAAAGAGGGACAGAAGCCAGTGTTGCCCACGGTACCCCTGACCATCATTCAAGGCACCCCAGGGTGCCACGGCGAACAGGTTGAAAACCACTGACATAAGACAAGCCAGCTGGATCAGACCAATGGCTCATTTAGTCCAGCATCCTGTTCTCACCGTGGCTGCCTGTGGGAAGCAGGGCATGAGGGGATCAGCACTGTCCAACTGCAATTCCCAGCGACTGTTATTCAGAGGCATACAGCCTCTGACAGCAGAGGCAAAGCATAGCCAACCTGCCATCGTTGACCTTCTCCATGAATTTGTCTAATCCTCTTTTAAAGCCACTCAGGTTGCTAGGCATCACTGCCTCCTGTGGGAGCGAGTTCCATAGTTTAATATGTGCTGCATAATTTTATGAACTGCTATCGTGTAGCCTCTTTAACTCGCCTTTTCCCTAAAGACCTCTCCCAAAAGGTGACGTCAAGGGAGGGATTTACTATGGACTAGACTAGTACCAAAAACAACTGAACAAAAACTAAACACCGGGGACTATCCCTTCTTAAAAGGGCTTAGTGAAACGTGTTTCCACTCGTTACATGAAGATATGTCACAGATCCTCTCAAACAGGTCTTCACTTGTTTACTAAGCATTCCTTACAGGGCAATTTGTCAGCCTGTATTTCTTAAGAAACACCCCCCTCCCTTGATTAAAACACACACACCAACAATTCACTATTCCCAAATGCACAGGACGCATTAGCACTATGGTATATGTATATATTTACATTTCAAACCAGACATTTCTTTTTTTGAGGGAACTGAATCTTTGGAACAAAACTGGACAAATCTCTTCAGATTCGGATAGGGACAGTCGCTTAGAAAGGGGTTTTGGCCTTTCAGATTAGACCAGTATTATCAAAACTTCCCACCCCACCCCCCCTTTCCCGCACCCCCCTCTACCTACAGATAAAACATGGAGCATTTAAACAACCATCGGAGTCAAAGGTTGTCTGCCGTTACATAGCAACGAACCCAGTACTTCAGCAATTTGCTGGATAGTTCTATCTTCTCAGAAGAAGGCAGCAAGGACCTGTATTCGGTTTTGCCTCGTTTCTTCACCTCACCACAAGGGGAACAGGCCTCTGTTGAAGCCCAACCAGCAGCCATTTCCCCTTGCCTGGTCACATGGTGTCCTTTCAAGAGCAGCTCTTCTCCGCCCCCACCCCGTCTCCACGGCCATATTAAGTCCAGAGCATCATTTTTCACACTCGCATGCAGAGACCGGTATTTTTAACCTGCCGTTCCCTTCGGTACCCTTGAAACGTCAATGGAAAGTTATAACAACCGGCAGCAGACATTCCTTCCGTGTAACAGGTCTCTTCTGACTCTCTCCAGGCTAACCAAGTACATACACGGTCAGGTTTCTCATGCCCAACAGTTCTTCCCACTGGGCTGGGCTACGGTTGCGGCTGCTCATCTGTGGAAGCTTCCGGAACCCCAGGGCCTCCTTGTACTGCCTCAGGGTTGTTGTTTGACAATGTCTCAGGGTTGTCGTTTGACAGCGTCTCAGGGTTGTCGTTTGACGGCGTCTCAGGGTTGTCATTTGACGACGTCTCAGGGTTGTCATTTGACGATGCTTCCGGCATTGTCTGAAGCTGACTTTGTTCCTCAGGGGCTGTTTGTTCCGAGGTGCAGCTGTCCAGTTTCTGGACAACAACTGGAGTCTCAGTACAGGGCTTGGCCATCTTGATGGCCTCGTCGTAAGATGGCGGCATTTCAATAGCATACAGGCTGTACGCCGGAGGGCTCGCCATACTCCTATCCACCTCTCTGAAGGGCAGGGGAAGTGGGAGGTTCTGAGGATACTGCAGAGAACTGTATGCTGCAAAGAGAAAACACAGAAAAGTGTTCATTTTAGGAGGTCAGCACAACAAATGTTTGACAGAAGGGATGGTGGGAAGGCAGGTCCCTGGACCATTCACAGGGCTTATTTCAGGTGTTTTAGGACACCTTTTAGGGCAAAGATGGTGCATGAAGAACTGTAGAGTTGTAAGGGAGCACCCCTCCAGGGTCATCTAGTCCAACCCCATGCAATGCAGGAGTAACAGCTAAAGAATCCCGGACAGATGGCCATCCAACCTCTCCTTCAAAAACTCAAAGGAAAAAGAGTCCATTCCACTGTCAAACAGCTCCTACTGTTTAGTCACTATCTCCTTTCTTGTAATTTGAATCCACTGGTTCGGGTCTTACGCTCTGGCACAGCAGAAAACAAGCTGGCTTCCCTGAGGCAACCCTTCAGATAATTGAAGATGGCTATCCTATCGCCTCTCAGTCTTCTCTTCTCCAGGCAAAACACACCCAACTCCCTCAACCATTCCTCTTAAGGCTTGATTTCCAGACCATCTATCATCTTGGTTGCCCTGCTCTGCAAATGTTCCAACTTGTCAATATCCTTCTTAAACTGTGGTGCCCAGAACCCAGAACTGGACACAGTGCTCCAGGTATGGTTTGACCAAAGCAGAATACAGCAGTACTATTATTTGCCTAGATAACCTAAACAATAGGGGTGAAGATCCTTTTTCAGCCCAGCAGGTCAGAGCTTTGATCTCGCCACTACACAGGTCAACTTTGACTGATGAGCGAGGCCACTTATTTGTCAAATTGCCCAAAGCCCTGATCATGTCAGGTGACTGAAGTTGACCCATGGGGTGAGAGGTCCGCTTCACCAGCACATTCGCTGCAGGGAACCCACTGGCAAAGTGGCAGCCAAGGAGATTCGAACTCTTAGCTCATCGGCGGATGGGGAAGTAAGTCAATCTTGCTCTCTTGAAGGGGTCTGCTTTGCCAGCGGGTTCTCTGCAAGGAACGCTGTGGCAAAGCAGCACCAAGCAGGATTGAACCCTGCCTGCCTCTGCTGACATTACTCGATGATGTCAGAAGATTGACAGGTGGGGTTTGGCGATCCTCCTGCTGTGCAAAGTTGCATTCCAACTGGGCAAAAGCACTCAGCAGAGTAGGGCCTGCAAGGATTGGGGCCCAGGGAAAGAGCCAAAGGATAGGGCTTGGGTGGGCTGCTTTTGGACCTTTGGTTCCCCCACCAGTGTACATATTGAATGAATGGATGAAAACAACCCATCTCCACACTGTTTTACAGCTGCAAGATAGGATAGATTTCTCCCTCACTCCCCCCACCGGCTCCCAAAATTTGGGATTGCCAAATACTCACAGGTGACGGTGCTGTGGGCGGTGCTGTCGTGGTCCATGGGGATGATGGTGAGGTCGTGGGCGTGAGGCGGAAAAGTCTGAATCGGGGGCCTCTTCTTACGGCAGCAAAACCGGACACAGCTGGCGCCTATGCCGCACAGCAGCAGCAGAAACACTGTGAGCAGGATGAGCCTGAAGGAAAAGAGGCAGAGCCCCACATCAGCCGTCGGACCCTGCAGTGTAGGCTCCCATGATATTTAGCAAGGAGGACATCTGCTGCAGTCAAAGCACAGGGAACTGAGCAGGGGCAAGGAACCTCAGGCTTGGGGGCTGAATTAAGGCTCCCAGGTCTCTCTATTTGGCCCTTGGAACTCTCCGCAGGCCACGACCCCTCAGTGGCCTGCTTTGCATCCTCCTTGAATGTTTCTGTCTGTCTGGGATGTGTCCTTGAACTCTGAACATGTCTCTTGCTTGTCTGGATGGAGGAGAGACTGGGTATATATGTCTGTGTGGTGTAGAAACTAGCCTAATGCACAAAAGTAAATTTACATGCGTTGCTCCAACCAACTTCCGCCTCTGGCCCCACCCACCACTGCCATGCAGCCCCCCACCTAGGGCTGCCCAGAAGGGAATGAACGCTCAGCACAATATGGCAAGTGGGACAATCATTCTGATACTGGCATATGGCGTTGTGGCCGATTGCTGCATACCAAAAGCTGCTTAGGGAAATTGGGTATGCTTAGTGCGCCAAACACTTTCATGAGTATTAACAACTACGAGACAGTGTGGTGCAACAGTTAGAGCAGTATTTCTCAAACTTGGGCTCCCCAGTTGTTGTCGGGTTACAACTCCCATAATCCTTAGCTAGCAGGACATGTGGTCAGGGTTTTATAAGTGCTGGAAACCACCTAGAGAGGCCGGGGAAACCCGTCCAGATGGGTGGTGTATAAAGAAATTAATATATATATATATATATATATATATATATATATATATATATAAAAACAGCTGGGGGCCCAAGTTTGAGAAACACTGTGTTGGAGTGTCAGACTAGGAGCTGAGAGACCAGGATTCAAATCCCTCCACTCAGCCATGAAGCCAACTGGGTAACCTTGGGACACTCACTGTCTCTCAGCCTACCCTACCTCACAGGGTTGTTGAGCAGATAAAATGAGAGGGGAGAGAGCAATGTATGCTACCTCGAGCTCCTCGGAGGGAAAGGTAGTATAGAAATACTTAAAACAAGTAAGTAATAACAAAACCCTCTTTTTAACAAAAAAGTATTTTCTATTATGTTTTTATGGATGCCTTTTGCCAATTTTTTCCTTCTACGTTGTATACTGCCTCAATATATTTTTTAAAAAATGAAACTGTTTATTTGCTTTCATGTTTATAATCGGCAAACATAAAAATGTTTCAGTCCAACATTTCCGGATGCAAATCTACATTAGAGGAGGGCAGGTGGTTGGAAAAGTAACCAGCCAATGCCATCGAGACCCCGAATTACTCCCAGGAAGTATGTGAAACGAGAGCTGAATGCCAATCAGATGAGCAGAGAGAAGGCGGCCTCTTTCCACATTCAGCGAGGCTTCAAAAGGCACTCAAAATATGTGGTTCGATTTTCCCCCACCTGCTTCTCTCAGAAGAAAAACATTTACGTTCTCACAGCATCATTGAGCAATAAATCCGTAAGCTGGCCATTCATAACTATGTCACTGGATGACGAAAACTACTGGTAAACAATTTTCCATGAAGGATCAGATCACAAGATTGTTTTGCAATACTGTGGTACCTCAGGTTACATACGCTTCAGGTTACAGACTCTGCTAACCCAGAAATAGTGTTTCAGGTTAAGAACTTTGCTTCAGGATGAGAACAGAAATTGGGCTCCAGCGGTGCGGCAGCAGCAGGAGGCCCCATTAGCTAAAATGGTGCTTCAGGTTAAGAACAGTCTCAGGTTAAGTACGGACCTCCAGAATGAATTAAGTACTTTCCACTGTAATTCACAGAGAGCAGACCTGTCTTGTTATTACATCATGTCCCCTGCCTCCCTGGTTTTAAAACTGCAACGCTGTGGCTCCTCTTTTGGAATCACAGGATGGACATTAATGTAATAGGAGCCTGCTGGGCACTTCAATGGGAGACCTTGCAAGGAGGACTTGAGCACAAGAGCTCTCTCCTCTCCTGTCCTTTCCAGCAACTGATATTCCTATTCAGAAGCACTGTTGTCTCCAACGGTGGAGGCAAGGCATAGCTATGGTAGCTAGTAGGCATCAATAACTCACGACTTTTGGCCCTTAATCTGAAGAGTGGTGGCATTTTGGCCTCTTTTATTGGGAATGGGTGTGAGCTTCAGGTGAAGGGCAGTGCACAAATTTAAATAATAATAATAATAATAATAATAATAATAATATACCGGCAGCAACCATCTTAGGAATGTCCAATTGATGCATGATTGCAGACGCGCAGGTCCTTATGCACCTGGAAGAGAGCAGAACAGGGCCAGGGGGGGCTTATGCAAGTTCTGCTGATGCACATGGGGGCTGGGAATGGAAAACACACACGCACACGAAATGGGTCACTGTGTGCATATGCAGGGCTATTATTCGGGGGCATGGGGAGGTGCCAGAACTCACCATCCTCTCTCTCTGTCTCCCTGCTGTGGAACCAACAATGGCGCCCACTTGAGAGGTGCCGAAACTGCGCTGCTTGCTGCCCCCCCCCACTTGGTTTTAAAAACCCTCTTAACAAATATAATAAAGTCATAAGGTCTCCTCTGAGTAAAACTTAGCTGAATACCACTCCTGGGTGTTATAGGACTGGCCATCCCTACTCTGGAATAGTATGGTCCAGGGAACGTTTTTAGCTATTTGTGGACCCATTTGCCTTTTTTAGAGATTCCTGGGGGGGGGGGGGGATGAAACAGGAAGTAGGCGGAGAGAAAATACCTGTTTCTCACCACTGAGCTGGTTTTGCCACTGAGTGGATGATGCAATGAGAGTTTCAGTTGATTACAGGCCAAGCAAGGAGTGATGATAGTTTGACACAGCATAAGCCCAGAGGGCTCCTTCATATGCCAAGTTCTCAATGGCTAAAGGGCTCCACGTGTCGGCTTGTGAAAGTGAGGGAGTTTTATAACAAAAATGTTCCATGAGAGCAACTGGGGGAAGGAAATATTACTTCATTCCCAACTATGCCAGGATTCTTGTCAAGTGGGATTGCAGCCTGCCCTGTTTTGTTTTCCTTTTCTGAGGCACCTAGTAACACATCCTCACCATCACGGGCTCCCTGTCCCTAATCGTTACTTATTAGTCAGATTTCCATAGACCTCCAGGGAACAGGAAGGTTGAGAGGTCACCACATGACCTACTAACCTTCCAGCAGCACCAAGTTTTGCGCCTGCTTGTTGTCATTACAAGTAATCTCCCAGGGAAACACCCCTGCCACCATCAAGGTTGGTTTTCTAAGTGCCAGGCGAAATTTTATTTTTTTATATATATTTTTTTACTGAAGCGTTGAGTGATTTTGTTAAGATCGGCTAACAGTTTTAGGCCTGAGGGCCACACTGAAGCTTGATAGTTCCTCCAAGGGCCACATGCCAGGTGGGGTAACTGTACTGACCAATGCACACATGCAGACAAAAACATTCTGACCCAGAGGACATTTTTTTTCTCCCCATGGCAGTGCTGCTGTGGGGAGATAAAGCAGCATTTTTCATCCTCATCCCAGTACTGGGCTAGGAGGATAAAAAACCTCTCATGCTAGTATGCGTCGGAAAAACAGCCCCATTACAAGAAGGTCTCTTGAACGCCTTCCTGTCTTTTAAGACTTGCTTGTGGCAACAACAAACCAGAGGGAGAAAACGCCTCTTTTTCCAAGGCATCAAACACCAGCCAGCAAAACCCCTTTTCAAAGGGCCACCTTGCAAAGCGCTTCAAAAGACAGCCTTGCAAAGCACTCTGCAAAGGATGAACTGGGCAAAGAAGTCACCTGATGTCACGTGTCTGCCAGTTGGGAGCCCCGCCCACCTGTCCAACAAAGGGTGGGGGAGATAGTGATCTGGCCTTCTGCCCAGATCCAGTTCCTTACCTCTGGGGCTTGATTAACCAAAGGGCTGGCTCCAAAGTGCAGCCAAGGGACGGGATGTGAAATTGGATCCCTGGCCCACTGCACACCCGACAAGCTTAAAGAACAGTATAACTGTTGCCCCCGGCTCCAGCATCTCCAAACCCTCCTTTAGCATCCCTAAGTAGCTGCTCCAAATTAGTCACACAATGGCTTTATCACAACCTGCTCGTTTCATAACGCACTCAGACTGTGCAACAGGAAAGGTGGTCATTTGTTTATCTACCGGTTGCATTTCTGCTTTGCTAACTTCCTCTTCAAACAGGGCAGTGAATGGAGCTATTGTCAGGATCTGAACAAGGCATGATCACAAAGTAAACAGAAACGAAATACACACGCTGCCTCTCTTTCTCCAGTATCAAAGGAGAGAGGAAAGAGGAGACGGAGATGGGCTGCTGGATGTGGCCCTCCAGGCCTTTCAATCTGGCCCTCTGTGGTTGCCCCAGGCCACGCCCCTTATTGGCCCTGATCAACACCTTCCTTGAGTGTTTTTGCCTGTGCAGAACGAGCAGAGTGGGAGCCGAGAGGGAGAGACAATGTCTGCCAGCGACTTCCTGAAACAAATAAAGCCAAGGCCGAAAACTGATCTGAACTCACCAGACATACCACAGGCTTGTCCAACTGGTTCCCTGCTGAGTACACCTGGAAAATGAAGACAAGGAAATGGGGCATCACTCATCGAGCCTTGGATTTTTGATGCAGCTCACACACATGATCTCTCTCTAACTTTTGCGCAACGGAGGACAGGGAACCCCTGGCTTGCCAGATGTTGCTGGCTGCCATTCCCAGCCAGCATGGGATGATTCCAGCAGCAGCCTAACGAAAGCTGGAGGGACACAGGTCTCCCAAAAAAACACCAAACAAAAGCAGGCCAAGCAATTATACTTTCCCCATCGCAGATGGGGAACTGAAGATAAACGAAATCCCGGTTGAGTGTGTGGCCAAGGTTAGGTGCAAACTAGAAAATTTCTCCCAGGCCTTTCCTTATTTAAATAAAGCTTTCAGATGGAGACACATTGCCGTCAAAGAAAAGCACCTCATGCAGGTTCTTACTTACCCTTGTGGGCTACTGCAGTGGATCTCAGCAAAGGCAGGCAGGGCCTGGAAGTAAGGAAAAGAGAAATAATGGATTTAGAACAGAAAGCTAGAACTAAATGCTGCAGGGACAGAATTCTATGGCTCTGAAACTGATCCGGGGAACCCTTTTTCAGCTTGAAAGCCACATTCCATCCGGGACATTCTTCCAAGGCAACAATTGTTAGCATAGCCTCTGCACAGTACCCAAGTTTCTACACAAGTTCCCACACCCCTCTCTGTCATCTATCCAGGCAAGCAAGAGGCATAGCCCAACTAGGCAAAAACACTTGGGATGCAAAGCAAGCCTTGGTAAGTGGTGTGGCCTGGGGAGACTTCTAAGGGACCGGTGGGAGTGGGATGGAGGGATACAATGAACCGCTGGCCCTGAGTTTCTACCCTGCTTGCTGTAAAACAACACACCACTCTCACAAGACTTGCCTTACTCTTCAACAAACAAACAAGGGATCAAACAAAAGATCCCTCTACCACTCTCTCATCCAAAGAGCAAGGAAGATGCCCATGGGATGCTTATGAAAGAGAATGACCAGTATTTTGCAATCCCAGGTTTGCAGCTGATGAATAAGGAGGTGAATATCTATCTATCTATCTATCTATCTATACACACACACACACACACAGTGGTACCTCGGGTTAAGTACTTAATTGGTTCTGGAGGTCCGTTCTTAACCTGAAACTGTTCTTAACGTGAAGCACCACTTTAGTTAATGGGGCCTCCTGCTGCCGCCGCAGCACGATTTCTGTTCTCATCCTGAAGCAAAGTTCTTAACCTGAAGCATTATTTCTGGGTTAGCGGAGTATGTAACCTGAAGCATATGTAACCTGAGGTACCACTGTGTGTGTGTGTGTGTGTATATATATATATATATATATATATATATAGTGGCAAGGCAGTTAAAACTTTCGTATCTCTGGTAAGTCCAGCAGCTTTGCTCATATGCAGAGCTAAACCATGGTTGGTTCAAAAAACCATACATGGTCTCACAGATGAACAAACAAGCTAAGGCTGGCCAAAGAGGTTTTGCTGACTGAGGCAAAGAACAAGCCAGTACTCCTCCTTATTCCACATACAGATGATAAACATGCTACGAATTGACACTTGCTTACTGGTGACAGGGAGTGTGTCCTCCATTGTGCCTGGGGGCAGCAAGCTAGTCACTTTCAGCTTAACTATGGTTTAGAGCAGGGCTTCCCAAATCTGGGTCTCTAGCTGTTTTAAAACTACAACTCCCATCATGCCTAGCTAGCAAGACCAGCGGCCTGGGATGATGGGAGCTGTAGTCCAAAAACAACTGGAGACCCAAGTTTAGGAAACCATGGTTTAGAGTGACATGCAAGCGGTAGCGGATAGCATGGTGGGGCTGTGCCCCTCTCCTGACCTCCCTCTGTTTGAGCCATTGTTGGTATACAAGGAACAAAGGTCAGCACAGTGAAAACTGGCATCTACCACCTCCCCATCTGTTCTGGCGGATGCACATGGTGCTGCCTGCTACTGTGTGCAAGCAAGGCCACTGCATTTAGATTTCAATTTCCAAGGGGTAGCTGTGTTGTGGGCTTGTTGCAGCGAAAACAAAGCCCTGCATTGCCTGAAAATTTATAGTGGCATAAGCTTTAGTGGAGTACAGTCTTATCCGATGCACGCATTGGTATCCTAAATTGCCGTGTGTGTGTGTGTGTGTGTGTGTGTGTGTAGAGCCAGGGTAGGATGGTGGTTGGACTAAGGACTGGGAGACCAGCGTTCAAATCCCCATGCAGCCTTGACGCTCACCAGGTGACATGTCTCTTAACCTAACCAACCTCACAGGATCGCTGCATGGATAAAACGGAGGGGCAGGGAAAAACAATTATGCCACTTTTGAGCTCCTCGGATGAAAGGTGGGCTATAAAGGAAATTAATACATACACACAAAAACATAAACACTGAACCTTGTTATTGATTGACTTTGCAAAGTCACCCAATGTAGCTACCCAACCAAGAAGTAAGCTTATGATCCATTTTATTGCACATGTCCTGGCAAGCCATTCTTCAGCTGTCCAAACCTTGCCCCCAGCATATTGGAAACTTAAGTTACTTTGAACAGATATGCTGCCACTTGTGAACATTTTCCCCCCCAGTATCAGCATTTTATTTTTTTTAAAAAAAGAATCTTGTGTTTATTGCTGTTGTTAGTTGTACAGTGGTACCTCGGGTTAAGTACTTAATTCGTTCCGGAGGTCCATTCTTAACCTGAAACTGTTCTTAACCTGAAGCACCACTTTAGCTAATGGGGCCTCCTGCTGCCGCCGCGCCGCTGGAGCACGATTTCTGTTCTCATCCTGAAGCAAAGTTCTTAACCCAAGGTACTATTTCTGGGTTAGTGGAGTCTGTAACCTGAAGCGTATGTAATCCGAGGTACCACTGTATACACGTTTTCAGTGAATTTTACTAAGGTGCCTTCAATGATATTTAACTGATTTATTTTCTTGCATCTATATCCCGGCTTCCTTCTGCCATGGAATCTAAAAGCAGAGTTTGGATTTGATATCCCGCTTTATCACTACCCTAAGGAGTCTCAAAGCGGCTTACAATCTCCTCTCCCTTCCTCCCCCACAACAAACACTCTGTGAGGTGAGTGGGGCTGAGAGACTTCAAGGATCCGGCCACTTACCAGACCTTGACCTGTTTAACTTCTCCAATGGCTACTAACCCCGATGGTTCTGCTCCACTTCCATTGTCAGAGACAGCATATGCTCTGAATGCCAGTCGCTGGGAATCACAAGTGGGACATTGTTGTCCCACTTGCAGATTACCCATTTGGGGTTTCTGATTAGCCAGTGGGCGATCAGTAGGCTACACTAAGTGGGCCATTGACCTAATCCAGCACTGATCTTTTTGCATTCATTTGCTAGAAAGGGCAACATATATAAATTCTTTTAAAGCAAAACAAATATTCCCAAATCTAAAACTTCCAAGTATCTTGCACAGGGAGGGTTATTTTGGGAGAGGGCAGGAAACAGGTATGTTGTATCACCAGTCAGTTGCTGCTGGGACCACCTACAGCCAGGACTTTAGGGTACATATCCAGCTAACAAGCCCAGAGTCTAAAATTACCCAACTACACCCCTGTCCGAGAATCCTTTTCAGCAATGGTATACAGCTGAAAATATGAAGCTGTTTACATGGAAGCCTGTTCATTAAACCAGCATTTTAAAGGAAAAATCATGCCTTAACTATTAAAGTGAAATGTTCAGTATACATTATGACATGTAAAGCATTAGACTGATAAAATTAGAGGGATTCTGGCAAAAGGAAAAAAAGAAAGAAATAGGCAGATGATGCAAAAACCAAACCAATTCAGTAACTGCTTGGAACAACACAAATGAAAATGCCTTTTGATTCGTGCATATTTGGAAGAGGGGTGCGGCTCCAGCAGCAGACCTGTCTACGTGCAAATCCCGTTCATAGGCTGGGGTGGCCCTCTAGCTGTTACTGAACTACAACTCCCATCAGCCCCAGTCAGCATTGCCCACGGACAAGACAGATGGGAGTTGTAGTCCCAACATCTGGGAGGACCACAGATTCCCCTACCCTTGATTTAGACCAAGAGAACTTGAAGCCCTTCCAACATGATTTCTGGACCACTCGGCTCTGTCAGAACGGAGATTCTGATCTGATTCAATGTATACATCTTTCTCACTTTGTCCTCATCAGGACAGATGAGTCTGCTTTCATCTGCCTCTGCCTGCTGGTCTCCCTGCCTTGGAAGCCCTAATGGTTACCAGTTACCACTGGTCTTAAGATCTAAGAAGGCAAGACTCAGCAAACCCCAGTAGATAAGGAGAGCTAAATCTCAGGGGCTGTATTCAACTAAGCTCGGAGAGTAGGACCCACTGAAATTCACACACACACCCATCTAATTTAGATCCGGATCATTTAGGGATACTGTGAACAGGCTACAAGAAACGTGCTTAAAATCACAGCAAACGGCAGAGAAGGAGGGCGGCAGGGAGGGAGGGGTGTGCGTGCGAGAGAGAAGAAAGGTCTGCAAGTAGAGGCCCCCACAAAGGGTGACATTCAAACAGAAAAGCCTTTTTTTTTTTCCAGAGCCGCAGACGGACCCACTCCGATCGGCTGCGGGGCAAACCAGAGGCCGGTTCGCAAGCGGCGCGAAGCTATGCTAGCAAGGAAGGCAAAAAAAGGAAATAAAAGACGATCCCAGCCACCGATCAGCCCCGAAACGGAAAAGCAACCCCCCCCGATCCACCCACCCACTAAACGTAGCCCACTGCGGCACCCACCTCCAGCAGAGCGAAAAGGAAGATTTTGTAGGAGACGCAGCCCGCTCGCTGTGCCGCAGCCATGGAAAGCGAAGGGGAGTCACCTCGCCCGTTCCCCGCTTTTCGCCCGAGGACGCCGAGGTTCTTTTGTCTTCCACGCACGCGGAAAAAAAACGCCCCGCGCCCCCTTCGGAAGACACCCAAAGAGTCGCTCCTGCGCTTGGCGCGCACTCCTCGGCTGCAGCCGCTTTGCAAAGCGATATCTCTCTCCTCAGGCCCCGCCCCTTCCCCAATTGGCCCCGCCCACTGCTGGCTTTCCCGCGCTTGCTTTGTTCACCCGCTGGGTTGCTGCAACGGATTAGGATTTTGCAAGCGGGAAGGGGATTTCTTTGCACCCATGGGATGCTCTCCCTCCACGAGGTTCTCGGGGAGCGGAGGTAGGCCCAAAGCGATGACTCAACGGGGTGTGTGTGAGAGAGAAAAGTCACCGGTTGAATGGAAACGAAGCCTAATTCCGCCCACCCGCCGCTATCCCCCCCCCGCAACCCGCAGAGCAATTTTAAGATTGCAGCATTAGGACAAAGGAATTTCAGAGGGGAGCTCCAGCCTTAAATGGCGGAATTTACAAATCATTCAGAAGTTCAAGTCATCATAAATCATCAACATTTTTGCGGGTGGGGGATATATCCTAATAGATGCATCCCCCCCACAAACGATTTTCCACTAATAACTTTGGTACGTTATTTTAAGTACTGGGCTTCTAATGCATGCTTCACCCCAGTCCATCCATTTTTGTACACGCTGCTTGGCTGAAAAACTACACGGCAAAATTCAGAGGTGTGCGGCTTTTGAAGGATGGCTGTGGTTTGCTTCACCTATTGTTTCAGAAAGTGTGGATTAGGTAGGCCTGCCTTTTAATGCAATCTGAAACCAATTTCTCCTTAATCCTTTGTTGTACCCATCATTAGTACAGTGGTACCTCGGGTTACATACGCTTCAGGTTACAGACTCCGCTAACCCAGAAATAGTGCTTCAGCTTAAGAACTTTGCTTCAGGATGAGAACAGAAATCGTCCTCCAGCGGCGCGGCAGCAGCAGAAGGCCCCATTGGCTAAAGTGGTGCTTCAGGTTAAGAACAGTTTCAGGTTAAGAACGGACCTCCAGAACAAATTAAGTACTTAACCTGAGATACCACTGTACTATTCAGAGTAGACCCACTGAGTAGACACGACGTGAGGCCTATTCCGAGGTTGCATACGTACCACGCATTCAAATCGCTATTATACCACTTCAGCAGCCATGGGCTTCCCCCAAATAATCCTGGGAGCTGTACGTTCCCCATCACAGAACTACTATGCTGAGCACCTTTGACAAACTACTCCCCAGAATTCATGGCTGGAGGTGGGAAAGCAGTGACTGTTAAATGGTACGGCCCTCTCCTTGAATCTCGTCTCTGCCACAAACTCACTAGAGGGCTGAACTTCTCAGCAAACTGCTTAAGACTCTGAGGAACGCTGCAGCCTTCTGCCTCACTGGTTTATAAGACCCAAGGATCGGCTCACCTTATGCATGCTTTCGCTTGCCAGCTGCTGTGGCTTGCATTTGCAAATAAAGCCTTGCCTACTTCACCCTGTAAAATGCACCTTCATGTTGTGCCGGTATATATATAGCCTGCTGGTAATCAGGTAAAGGTAAAGGGACCCCTGACCATTAGGTCCAGTTGTGGCTGACTCTGGGGCTGTGGTGCTCATCTCGCTTTATTGGCCAAGGGAGCTGGCGTACAGCTTCCGGGTCATGTGGCCAGCATGACTAAGGTGCTTCTGGCGAACCAGAGCAGCGCACGGAAACGTCGTTTATCTTCCTGCCGGAGCGGTACCTATTTATCTACTTGCACTTTGAGGTGCTTTCGAACTGCTAGGTAGGCTTTTTTATCGTAATTTGTATGGTTTTAACAGATTATTAATGTAGATATTGCTACAATTAAAACTATACATGTTTATTTTTTTAAAAAAATATTGTTCTCCCCCTCCCCCTGAATGTTTTTAGCTGTTCTTGTTTTTATCTGCAAGCCACCTTGAGTCCGTGTCAGGGGAAAAGGCAGGGTATAATAATACTAATACAGTGGTACCTTGGGTTAAGAACTTAATTCGTTCTGGAGGTCCATTATTAACCTGAAACTGTTCTTAACCTGAGGTACCACTTTAGCTAATGGGGCCTCCCGCTGCTGCTGCGCGATTTCTGTTCTCATCCTGGGGTAAAGTTCTTAACCCGAGGTACTATTTCTGGGTTAGCGGAGTCTGTAACCTGAAGCGTATGTAACCTGAAGTGTCTGTAACCTGAGGTACCACTGTATTAAGAATAAGCCTACCTTACAGGGTTGTTTTGAATGCTTCAGAAAAATTCCAACTACTGTTACACCCTAATATGGAAAAGACAAAAGAAAATCCCAACTCATGCTTAGTTTCGCATTAGAGAAGCATGACTGATACTGACCTTAGAGCTGACCTGCTCATCATTTTCCCCATGAGGTCATTTCTTCTGGTTGCCTAAAGGAGTATTTTTGGAGGATATGCCCAGCCCTTCTCTCACGATGCAGTCCAATTACAGAGTTGGCAAGGCAGGACCAAGGGGATCCCAGCTGACAGAGGAAAGAGCAGCTAACACACATTGTGCTCCAGTTACATGTCGCTATCCTGAGTCACCACCCAAAAGCAAGGAAAATGGACAGAGAAGGCAGTACATCCCTTTGCAGAAAGGCTGGTGAACAAGGCGATGGGGACACATTAGCATCCTGAAATGCAGCAACATCATTTTCACCTGTTGTGTTTTAAGACACGATTATTGCATTTGTATTCCGCCTTTTTTCTAGGTGGGTTACATGGTTCTCCCCACCTCCTCAATTAATCCCCAGAACATATCAGTCTTCTTCCACCATCTCACACATTTCAATCCTTTCTGTCCCCTGCTGCTATGACAGACGGGATGAAGTGGGTTCCATTAATTTCAGTGGGTCTGCTCTCAATAGAGCTTTGCTGGGTACAAGCCCTGAATTTTGGTTCTCCTTATAGAACGGGGCTTGCATGGTATCGTCCAGCTAAATCCAAGACCTGACCATTGGTACTGGGTGGAAGGCAGAGAGACCAACACCTAGTGAGGGCAGTGACGGACAGAGCAAACCCCTGGGCTGGTTGACAGCATACTGGGGACGTTGAGGCAGTGCCCAATTTATTTTTCTTCATGAATTTATTTATAAAAAATATTTATATATATTTTTATGGCACAGAGGTATACATCTATCTAAGTTTACAGCAATAAAAACATTAAACTATACAATAAAAGCCATAAAAAGGTAAAAACAGACACCAACTGACCACTGAGGAACAGTGTTCTTAATTGCCTGCATAGGGATAGAAAAGCTTTGTGCAGGCATTTAAAAGTTGGCACAGAAGGCGCCTGTCGAATCTAGTGGCAAGGTTTTCCACAGGACCAGGGCCATGACACTAAAGGCTTGGTTCCTTGTTGTCATTGTCAAATGAACCTCAGGGATCTACCACTGACACTCTTGCAGATGATCTCAGGGATCGAGTGGGATGATATGAGGCATTAGGAACTTGGCAACTGTACAGAGAGATGTATAAATGGATCCCCAGCCCTGCCCAGCAAGGAGTGTCCTCTCCCCTCTGACCCAACCCTATTTCAGGTTGCAAGGAGAAGTGAAGATGGCGCAGCATCCTTGTTCCTTCTTACTCTCGCCTCCTGACATCGCTTCCTGGGGCTCCCAGCTGCTGCCATGATGCCAACCACTGGGCAACAGAGCTGCCCACCACAGCAGACACTTCTGCAAACCACCCACAAGAGACATGTCTGCATTCTAGTCCCAATATACTTTCCATTCTGGGAGAAGCCTAGAACGCCAAAGAAGCAGGCTAGAAAGAGAATGCATCTAGTTGCAAAAGTGTCATTTCTGCACATGCCAGGTGCAACAAACCCATGGCCCTGCGGATGTCATAGGACTCCAGCTCCCATCTTTCTTTGACTGTTGACCAAGGTGCTGGGGCTGATGGGAGTTGGAGGACGATATGATAATCTTTTTTGTCATTGTCCCATACAGAACAACGAAATTGAAAAAATCTACACAAGACATTCAATGACACCTGGCATTAATGTTTTGTACATCAAATTGAACATGCTTATATTCCCACTGCAGAATCCTAAAAGGGCCACACACTTTCTCTCTTACACACACCTTTTTTCCTTTCCACAGCCCTCCCTTTAAACACCCCTCAGCCATAGGCATTGTTATGTACAGAAGTTCTCACCCTGGGCCAGCAGGGGGATACTGTAGATAGTTCAGGTCCACATATGCAAATAAGGGATCGAAAGTGACGTTCAGTGATTGGATAGTTACAGAAAGTTGTTAAAGTTACATTGTACTGGAGCTCTATATAAGCAGGCTGGCTGAACCCTTCAGTTCAGTTCTGTTCTGGCCTGTGAATAAACAAGAGCTGTTTGAAGAATCGCCGTGTCGTCTGATATGTTCACCCACAACTTAACAGGCATGACTCCCTTGCTAGAACTCATATGCCTCCCCAATGCCCCCTCTTGTTCTGCAGCACTGCAAATTCCCCCTTTAACCCTAGCAAACTCCACCTGTCCCCACCTGCTCCTCCAGCTTTCTTCCCCCAACTGCGGGAGGCCTAAAACACACACACACAACCCCACCCTCCCATCCCTATTCCCTTACACTCCTCCAAATCCCCCCTTATCTGCCAGTCAGTCGTCCTTGCCCCCTTCCCCAATTCCTTCTCTTTCCCTCCTGACCACCACCAGAGAGGACTAAAGCAGTCCTCTTAACCCAGGCATAGGCAAACTCGGCCCTCCAGATGTTTTGGGACTACAACTCCCATCATCCCTAGCTAACAGGACCAGTGGTTAGGGATGATGGGAGTTGTAGTCCCAAAAACATCTGGAGGGCTGAGTTTGCCTATGTCTGTGTTAACCTGTCCTCTCCCACTTCTCTCGCCACCACATCACAACCGCATTGTTTTCTCAGAGCAGCCTCACCCCACTCCTGCCTTTGGAACTTTGGAAAACAGCCAATGAAAACAGAGTGGTGACATGCTTGCACTCTTATTATACACAAGATACATTAAAAGCTAGTTTACTGTGAGTGAAATTCTCCTAATGGGGGTGTTTGTGTGTTTGTGCGCATATTATATATTACATTTCTCTCACTTTTTCCTCCAAGGAGCTCAAGGTGGTGTACATTGTTATTCCCTCCCTATTTTATGCTCACCACAACCCTGTAAGTCTGCCTCTTTAATTATATATAAATATCCGTCTGTCTAATTATATATAAATATCCTCTTTTTCCCAGTTGGGCCTCAAAAATCCCTTGGAGGTGTTCAGCACATACTGTAAACAGGAAAGCCTATCTACAAATTACTCTAAGATTATGATTTTGAGCAAACAAAGTCATAGGTATAAATGGTGCTTAGCCATCTATGCACCTGTTGGAGGGGGGGTCAGGAAAAAGGAGTTCAATAAAATTGCTATGAATTGTTGTGATGGTTAAGAGGTTTAATCTGAAATCAAGCTAGATTTGAATTTGTTGGTGTCTCTGGTAATTTCTTTCTCTCATTTCATGGATGTTAGCAAATTAGATTTAAAAAGCCAAAATAATATTAGAATTGGAACTGTCAGAGATGGACAAGGGAATTTTGCTTTAATGCTTAGGAACTTGGCAAAGCCTTAAAAAAAAAAAGAAAGGATTCTTATATTATGGACATCCCAAATAATTTTATTGATACTATGGCTTAATACAAATTTCCCATGGCCTCTGGCTAGAACAATATACTTATGAGCTGAATTGAATATACAATTACTGCATTTTTGTTTCGTTTTCGCCTTCCATATAATAATCTAGTTTTCATTCTGAAAATCAAATCGCACCAAACATTACAAAAGAGAAAGCACTAGATATATACTACAGCCCCATTGGTGAGATGCATGGCATCACATTTTATTTTAAAGTGCATTGCCCACATTTCTTTATGCAATGAACTCAAAGAGGCTTACAAAACAGAAACACAAAATACCGTATTTTTTCATGTATAACACGCCCCCATGTATAAGACGTCCCCTATTTTTGGGGACTCCAAATTGAGAAAATGGGGGGAGATTGTATCCTTGTATAAGACGACCCACAATTTTGAACATAATTTTTAATTAAAAAAACCTTATACATGGAAAAGTATGGTACACAAAAATGCTGCAATAATGGTTCAAATGACAACATCACTTACATATTTTAAAACTAGGATCACAGTCAAACAACTGGCTACTGTATATATAAAAACCAGGGAGACGGAATTCAACCCCCTCCCCAAAAAAACCCCTCTCTGAAAGAAAGCCTTAAGGTTGTATCCAATGCTGTGAGCACGATCCCTTTCACACCAATGGAGGATTTCTTCACGATTCAAATCTAGAGGAGTAATCCAACCATCAACCCAAGTGGGGAGAGAAAGAGATTAACCAACACCCACTGCAGTCCCGAAAAGGATCACCCCCCCGACACACACACACACACACACACACACACACACACACTCCAGCTGGTGTTATTTGCAATTTTATTTCTAGACATAATGCACATGTTAAAAATGCAAAAAGCTCTGAATGTCAGATCACATCAGAGTTCTCTCGGTTGGGAGGTCTGCTTAGACCTCGCCAGTGGCCTTTGAATGAGGGTTCTCCTTACACAATCAAAGCAGGCAACCTTTTTCTTAAATAATAAAGAATTGCTTCAGCCCTGAAGGGACAAAGTACTGGGACCATTGAGGGAGGATTTCAAGGCCTGAGCGAGGTAGCTGGAGCTAATTAGGTGGTTCCACCTGTCTCTCAAAGCAGCTTTAAAAGCATTTTTGTGTGTGTGTGGTTTTTTTTCTTTTCTTTTTAAGAGCTTGTGTGTTTGCTTTCTGGGTTAAAAGGTCGTTTGCGCACAACCTGACATTCTTTGCTAAGTGTGGGGGACAGGACACAATTGAGAGGAAATCACACATCATTGGCTCGGATTCTTTGAAAACATTATTGCCTCTTGATTGGCATGAGTGTGGCGGGAGAGATATTGCACTTGTCAAGGCTGGACATCCAGGTCCATCACAAATCTTGTGGGACGTACACAAATAGAACTATGTGACTGTGCTGATAACATAAAAGGTAAGGTAAAGGGACCCCTGACCATTAGGTCCAGTCGTGACCGACTCTGGGCTTGCGGTGCTCATCTCGCTTTATTGGCTGAGGTAGCCGGCATACAGCTTCCGGGTCATGTGGCCAGCATGACTAAGCCGCTTCTGGCGAACCAGACCAGCGCACGGAAACGCCGTTTATCTTCCCGCCAGAGCGGTACCTATTTATCTACTTGCACTTTGAGGTGCTTTTGAACTGCTAGGTTGGCAGGAGCAGGGACCGAGCAACGGGAGCTTACTCCGTCACGGGGATTTGAACCGCCGACCTTCTGATCTGCAAGTCCTAGGCTCTGTGGTTTAACCCACAGCGCCACCCGCGTCCTGTAATGATAAAAAGAAATTCTGCACCAAGGTTGTCTAAATTCACTGGCACACGCAAAAGTTGAACTCTACAGCTGGTACACATTTGTAAATTTTATTTTGCTCCTTAAATCTTGCATATTTTATTTTCCTCCTGCTGCTAGTCATGGGAGGTGACTCTTCACAGCAGTGTAAAGATTCCTACACTTGAGAGAGTGAGTGGGTAGCTATTCTTAGTATAAATAGGTGAGGCTGCATTTGCCTCCTGTTCGATTTTCAGGTTCTCTCAGGAAGGACTACGCCCTTCCTATTCTTTGCAGTCTTTTCAAAGCCATCCAACCGAAGCAAAGCAAGTTACTCGGGTCACTTTCCGCCTGCCTTGGCTGATCAGGTCCAGGTCAGTGATCCGGGATTCAGCCCTGCCCAAGTCTCAGAGGAGAAGAAAGGGGAGCAGGGTTCTCTCTACCAGTGACTCTGAAGAGCCAATGGATTTGCATATACAGTGGTACCTCGGGTTACAGACGCTTCAGGTTACAGACACTTCAGGTTACAGAGTCCGCTAACCCAGAAACAGTACCTCGGGTTAAGAACTTTGCTTTGGGATGAGAACAGAAATTGCGTGGCAGCAGTGGGAGGCCCCATTAGCTAAAGTGGTACCTCAGGTTAAGAACAGTTTCAGGTTAAGAACAAACCTCCAGAACGAATTAAGTTCTTAATCCGAGGTACCACTGTATCTGCCATGGGGCTGGAGGTCCCCAAAATAGCTGCTTGGATTTCTGACCGGCTCTCAGAGCTCCCTACCCCAATCTGCCTCCCATGGCCACAGAAGCAGAAGAAATTTCAGGGCCACCACAGCCATGTGGCCCTACTTTATAGAGGACACTCCTCTATCCAAAGTGGTTCTATATCTGAAGGGCTGTCCGAACCACACTAGGCTTAAAGATGAAGAACCATGAGAACAAGAGTGAAGTTGTATACCAGTGGTTAAGCACCTGGACCAAAGGCAAACAGGTCACAGCCTCTCTGACTATGGTGAAACGTTCTAGATTTCTACTTAAATTATAGCAGTTCTTTCTAAACTGGTATCTCTGACTGCAAACTAGCATATGCAGGTGTTATGCAAATTGGCACCCTCTTTTGTTCCTTTTTCGTGATTGATTTAGATAATTTAGGGTCATCTAGTCCTACCCCCTGCAATGCAGGAATCTTTTGGCCAGCTGGGGCTCAAACCCACAACCCTGAGATTCAGAATCTCATGCTCCAACAACTGAGCTATCACAGGATTTATGAGTGGCCACCCTGTCTGTCCACTTAGAATAAGGTTACCAGATTTTTTTCAATGAAAATCCAGGGGACTGTCCCCAGGAAACAGGGACACCTGGTAACCTTAACTTAGAAGGAAGTGAGGCCACTTGGGAAGAGGAGGCACCTGCCCAGATTAGGGCCTGGCTGAGAGCCAGGTGGTTGGCATAGGGAGCCTTCAGCTATACAAACTCCCAGTCTGAACTGAAATTCCTGTCTCCCTGGCCTGGGGAAACAGAGAAGAGTTCCTTAGGCCCCAGCAGAACATCTCCATCTCCCTCCCATGGGTACTTAAAAAGTATCTATCCATTTACTCCAGGGATTGGGTATATGATGTAATTCAACTATCGTACAGTCCAGAAATATTTGCTGCGAAGCCTCTGCTAATGGAGCGATCCCTTCACCCAGGTTCAGAGTGCTCATGGAATGCTTATGAACATTCAGACTGCTCAGTTGTTTTTCCTAAGGAAAACCTATCAGGGTAAGAGGTTTAGGAAGAAATGCAGCTGGCTGAACATTGAGGCTGGGTATGGAATGGACTGGCAAGAATTCTGAACAAGGAGCACTTCACACTGGAACATTTTGTTGTGGGTCCCAACTGTATTATTCCAACATATTTCACTGTACAGTGGTACCTCGGGTAAAGAACTTAATTTGTTCCGGAGGTCCGTTTTTAACCTGAAACTGTTCTTTACCTGAAGCACCACTTTAGCTAATGGGGCCTCCCGCTGCCGCCGCACAATTTCTGTTCTCATCCTGAGGTAAAGTTCTTAACCTGAGGTACTATTTCTGGGTTAGCGGAGTCTGTAACCTGAAGCATCTGTAACCTGAGGTACCGCTGTACTCTTTGCCGACTCCTGTTAAATCACAATGGGTTGGATCCAGTATGAGTCCCACTCAGAGTAGATCTGTTCAAATTAAAAGGTAAAGGTACCCCTGCCCATACGGGCCAGTCATGCCAGACTCTAGGGTTGTGCGCTCATCTCACTCTATAGGCCGGGAGCCAGCGCTGTCCGGAGACACTTCCGGGTCACGTGGCCAGCGTGACAAGCTGCATCTGGCGAGCCAGCGTAGCACACGGAACGCCGTTTACCTTCCCGCTAGTAAGCGGTCCCTATTTATCTACTTGCACCCGGGGGTGCTTTCGAACTGCTAGGTTGGCAGGCGCTGGGACCGAGCGACGGGAGCGCACCCCGCCGCGGGGATTCGAACCGCCGACCTTTCGATCGGCAAGTCCTAGGCACTGAGGCTTTAACCCACAGCGCCACCCGCGTCCCCTGTTCAAATTAATGGCTCTAAATTAGTCAGGTCCATTAATTTCAAAGAGTCTGCACTGGATATAACCCAATATCTCACCCCCCCACCCTTTATGGGGGCTATACCACAATCCATTTTTTGCTCTTCTGGCCAGGATATGGCAACCCAATCACTCCTGTATTTCTGGAATTTTCTTTTCTTTCTTTCTTTTCAGAATGGTCCCGGAAGCATTTTTCTCTCTTTTCCTCCTCCGTCATCATTATCAAAAGACAATCAGCAAACAGGATGAGACAAAACACAAAGCTGGTGAATACCAGGTACAACTGGAATACTTTCCCCGAAAAGTGCTGGGTGTTTAGGTGTGTAGCTCTCCGTGTGTGAGAGAGAGGAGGCGGGAGGGAGGGAGCTGGAATAATTTGCAGATCTCCTTTTTTTAATTCGTTAGGCATTTTAGCACACACACTGCTAATTGTAAGGAAACCTTTATTCCCCTCCCAGAGCTACAATTCCCATAGCAGTTTAACAACCATTCCACATCTTCAGGGAACTCTGGGAATTGTAGTTTTCTGAGGAGATTGGAGGGGTGTCTCCTAACAACTCTCAGCACCCTTAAACTAAAGCTCCCAGAAATCTTTGGGAGAAGCTGTGACTGACTGTTGAAAGTGGTATCAGAGTGCTTTAAATGTATGGTGTGAATGTGGCCTGGCTCATATTCACTGCTAGTTCTCCTTAAGAGTAGAGCTACTGAAATTAATGGGCATGACTCACTCAGGTCCATTAATTTCAATGGGCCTACTCTGAGGAGAACTAAGTTAGCTACAACCCTGGGTTTTGTACAGGGGTTAACATCGGCCCGGAGGGCAAAGGGAGGCAGGAACTGAGCAAGCTAGTGGAAAATACCCGCAATAAAACGTCTTCCTTGCTCAGTTTCCCCCGAACCTGTTCTGCTACTTGGATTCTTGTCTCTTGGCCGATTTGTCTAAAGGTGTTGTTTTTGAAAGCGTAAAGAACCGGAGATGGAGTCTGGGTGTTGGGCATGTACCGGATTTGGGCAGAACCACCGATCCCATCTTTCTCCCAACTATTTTCAGTAGTTGTCTTGCCACAGGGAAACTGTGAAACAGTTGGGTAATTTTAGACTTCGGCCTTAAAGGAGGTGAAGGGGCTCTTTGTATGGCAACAGGTATTACCACACTTATTCAAAATAGAGGACACCAGCTCAGTTACAACATCCTTCTGTCCCCCATCACATATTCCATCAAGGGGAATCTTGGACATAAGCCCCAAAGCACTTCCACCATTATAATAATCATCAACATCATCCTCAAACAAATGTATAGGCTACAGCATCAAGCCATCGAAGCGGTGTACAAGTTAAAGCAGACTAAAAACACAGCAAACTCTAAAAACAATAAAACCAGTGCTTTTTTCTTAAACAATGTTTAGGGGCACTCTCATTTTCCTACTCATATTGAAATAGTGCCCCTCAATGAAGCCAAATTTAGGTTCACAAAATGTTTAGAGGTATGCATACCCCTGCGTCCCCCCAGAAAAAAAGGCAGAGGAAAAAACCATCTTTACACATTCTAAACGAATAAATTCGTCATATGCATCATGATGGCGACGTTGTGTGGAACATGGATGCATGCCGCACAAAAACATACAGTGGTACCTCGGGTTAAGTACTTAATTCGTTCCGGAGGTCCGTTCTTAACCTGAAACTGTTCTTAACCTGAAGCACCATTTTAGCTAATGGGGCCTCCTGCTGCCACCGCCAGAGCATGATTTCTGTTCTCATCCTGAATCAAAGTTCTTAACTTGAGGTAATATTTCTGGGTTAGCAGAGTCTGTAACCTGAAGTGTATGTAACCTGAAGCATATGTAACCTGAGGTTCCACTGTATTTTTGATATTATTTTATTCTGCATTATTAGATTTTGAAAGCCCAAGAAGTTGTTCTATATTTTAACATTTTGTAAGTCGCCATGAGACGCCATGTAAAAAGCGATGAACTAATAACAACAATATCCTCAGGCTGGAGGTTCGTAGCTGCCAACAAAATTAAAATTAATCCAGAAAATTTAGAAGCCCCCTACAATGTAATTTACAAGCTGCTAACCATTTTGCCAAGCTGCCCCACCCACACCTATGCCGACAACCCCAAGGCTGGTGAAAACTAGTTGTTAAGACCCAAAGTAGATAGATTGGATTTGCAGTGACTGACGTCTCAGGTTCTGCGGTACTTCAACACAACTCACGGTCTCTGAACTGGGACCATGCTCCCTACTTCACAATCTTGCCACCCTGTCCGGGAACTTTGGGAAACTGCCTTAGGGAGCCAGACCATTCTTCTATCTAGCTCCTTTGTATGGGGCCACTTACACCTCCCTCTGTCTCACATCTGCACCATACTTTTCAAAAGCATTTAAAGTACCTGGGGACTGCAATTTACTCCTCGCAGGGCTAACAAATCACCCCACTTGGCCATGAAGCTCATTGGGTGACCTTGGGCCAGTCACTGCCTCTCAGCTTAACCTACCTCAAAGGGTTGTTGTGGGAATTAAATGAGGAGGGAGAGAACCAGCTACGCCACCTCAAGCTATATACAGTGGTACCTCGGGTTACAGATGCTTCAGGTTACAGACTCCGCTAACCCAGAAATAGTACCTCAGGTTAAGAACTTTGCTTCAGGATGAGAACAGAAATTGCACGGCGGCAGTGGGAGGCCCCATTAGCTAAAGTGGTACCTCAGGTTAAGAACAGTTTCAGGTTAAGAACGGACCTCCAGAACAAATTAAGTTCTTAACCCGAGGTACCACTGTAAGTGCAATATAAACAAACAAACAAACAATGGCATCTGTCCTACTGGTTATGACAGCCTCTCTCAACCTTGTGTACCCAAAATGTGGGACTACAACTCCCATCATCCCTAGCTAGCAGAACCTAGTGGTCAAGGATGATAGGCGTCATAGTCCAACAACATCTGGGGTCCCCAAGGTTTAGAAAGGTTGGGTTAAGATATTGGGCTTGCCTCTCTCTGGTTCTGGAGGTGGCGGAAAGATACTGCAGGGGAGGTTCCTTTGAAGAACTGGCAGCCGTTAGATCATAAGATATACCAGGAGTATATTTTGCTCCTTTTGTAGGCTGGTGCAAAAGTTAATGGGTTATGGAAAGGTATACAGGAAATATTAATGAGGTGTATCCAGGCAGAGGTGAGAAGACAGGAATTGTTTGTGGGTCTAAAATAAAGCATGTAAAATGTAGAACAGTTCCTTGGAGGCCTTCCTCGTGTGTGTTGTGCAGTTCTGATGCACGTTTTCAATAGATAGATAGATAGATAGATAGATACTGTAGATAGATAGATACCTTCCAGCAGAGCTAAGTCCTTTCAGTCCATCATCAGAACAAGGGAGACTGAGTGTAGTAATTTATCTCCTGAACAATGCAGCATTCCTGAACTTCATGACCAAGCAGGTATTTGAACCAGGGTCTCTCTAACCTTAGTCTGATGCCCTAACCACTCTGCCACAAAGGATCACCTATTAGCTGTTCCTTATGTTGCCTTAAACTAGCTTGCTGAGGTAATGACTTTTTTTTATTTTACTAATGTTTTAACTTTACTAATTTCCCCCTCTTATACTTACTTTTCCTAATGTAAACTTTTAAAACTAATGTTTCTGTCTTAATATCTTAAACTAATAATGTTCAAATATTATTGT